TTTACCTCCAGGTTTCTAGTACCATTTGTTTTTAAGATATTCTACCTTCAGGTTTCTAGTACCATTTGTTTTTAAGATATTCTACCTTCAGGTTTCTAGTGCCATTTGTTTTTAAGATATTCTACCTCCAGGTTTCTAGTGCCATTCAATAGAAATGGATTGATGTATAGTAAAAAATCACTTGCAAACAGTCGTTGCAACTTTTAGCCATCATTTTTTTCTTCTCTCAGTTGCTTGTAATTCAAACCATTTTAGCATCTTGTGTGCACTTGGACACTGTTAATCTACCTAGCTCCCTGTATTTATACTTACTGACTTCCCTTGTACAGTATTCGTGACAGGTAGGCAATTACAAACCTTATGTTCTCTTTTCTTATAGTATTAAGCATGGTGTTTTTTTTTTGTTTTTTGGAAATAATAGGAAATTTGTCATCCTTTACCTCTCTTATAGTATTAAGCATGATGTTTTTTTTGAAATAATAGAAAATTTGTCACCCTTTACCTCTCTTATAGTATTAAGCATGATGTTTTTTTTTTGGAAATAACAGGAAATTTGCCATCCTTCACCTCTCCTATAGTATTAAGCATGATGTTTTTTTTTTTGGAAATAACAGGAAATTTGTCATCCTTCACCTCTCTTATACTATTAAGCATGATGTTTTTTTTTTGGAAATAATAGGAAATTTGCCATCCTTCACCTTGCAGAAGATTCATAAAGTAATTTGTAGCATATTGTACAAATCAGGTATATGAATAATCAGTTGTTATCCATGTCAGGAGTGTGGATAAACTGGTCGAATAATACTTCATACGATACATGTTAGAGATTAGTTTCAACACTTGAGATGTAATTTCATAAATCTCTGTCTTTCTGCAGAAACACCACAACAAAAAAACAATTTTTTTTATAAGAATCGTAGTTTGATCATAAATAGGATAAAATATTTTCACCCGCGAATGGTTTAGTGTGTGAATCTATTTACAATACATCCTTTCTATAGATATACACATATATCATGTTCTACTTTTATATTTGAGATTTTTTAATAAAATGATCAATCTAATGTTCTATTGTGAATAAGGTAATTAGAAAAAATCTTTTAATGATTCTCAATCTTTGAGAAATAAAAAGTGACGTTTGATATTCCTACAGATTAAAATAAATAACTTATATAAACGTATTACGGACCTAAAATATAAATATTTTCACAAAAACTTAATGATTTACATTCAGTATTGGGTTGCATTGTAAAATGAACACCATGCGTAATAACTTAATTTACTATTAGCTTGTAGTTAATGTAAGTTTAAACATCAGAGTTTAAGATTAAGTGAAATGTATACCTCCATTATTAGATACCAAGTAATAAAAAACAAACAAGCAAGTAATATATTGAGATACTACTGCCTTACAAACACATTAGCTAATTCTGAGTAACGTTTTTTTATTCTTTCCTCTCTATTGGATTGTCTTGTTCTCAGCAAAGTAAATTTTGCTTCTCTTAAGTTTCACAAACTAGAGGTTGTTACACGTGGTTCAATAATATGAAAATAGTCATTGAATGGTAAAATAACATTGTTTTTCAGTGCAGCTGTTATTTCTGTGGATATAGCCTTTTATACGTATAACCTTCTCTGGGTATAGCCTCCTGTAGGTATAACCTATGAATATAACTTCCTACTGTTATTACCTTTTATGGATATAACCTCTTCATCCACAAGTTTAATTTCGTACTGCATATGATTCATTTTATATTAGGTTTCGATATTTTTTTACGTCTCTGATTTTAAGCACTCAATTCAATACAGATATTATCAACGCATATACGCATCTAGTATAAAATTATAACAAATTAATCGTATTTGTATGGCTCAGTGGTAAGTCTTTTAGGCTTATAATGTTGAAAATGGGGTTTCGATATTCGGGGTGGGAAGAGCATAGATACAATAGCTCTATGTTCGTTTTGTTGTTTTTCCAGACAAAGTATTTGTACGAAATAGATGTAAAATTTTAATTAAAGAAATTTTAAGCTGGTAAATTTTTTTTCATAGACTTTAAACAAAGGCATTTGTTTTAGATATATATATATATATATATATTCAAAATAGTTAGAATTTGTATAATGTATTCGTATTGCATATTTATATATTGCCAATAGGCCTAAAACGTGTAACGAAATCACGTAAACTGCAAATGTTTTTTGACATTCCCCTTAATTATACTACTTTATTTTCTTATATTCTTGAATAGTTACTTCAATAAAACTATGACTCAGATTATATTGAGTCATAGTTTTAGTGAAGTAACTATTTAGTAAAAATTAGGAATTATGGATTTATTTGTTTTACTTTATTATATAAGTAAAACAAATAAATCCATAATTCCTCATTTTTACTATAGTTACTTCAATAAAACTGACTCATATTATAAAGTAAAACAAATAAATCCATAATTCCTCATTTTTACTATAGTTACTTCAATAAAACTATAACTCAGATTATATAAGTAAAACAAATAAATCCATAATTCCTCATTTTTACTAGGTGTCCCCGTTTCGTCGGCCAGACTTCAGTGACGACCATATCTCCAGCGATGTGTATACGTATACATCTACTTAGATACATGTATACACATATGTGTTTATATGTACGCGTATGTATAGCGTGTATATGATTTTAAATGGGTTGGTTTGCATGTGTGTCAACCTCATGTGCTTCTGAAAATCTCCAGAAACTTCGACTTCTTCCAAAGAAACTAATGATATAACCGTTTTAAAGCGAACTGTGAGGTAATCCGGGGAAAAATACTAGCTTGGAAACAGGTGAACTTTAAATACCATGGTTTAGAAGCAAAAAAAAAAAAAAAAGAAGTTTGGTTTCGGCTTTGTACATCAGCGGAACCGTATTGTAAGGGACGAAACTGAATTCATTATTGCTTTACAAAATATTATATATATAACTTCAGAATATCGCTGCTTAGTGTTACGGCAAATTAAAGAAAGACAGTTCTTGTAGAATGAGCTTACAATTCGCGGATGCAGTAAGCTAGAAGAAATACATATTTTTAATGAAAGTATTAGTAGGGTCTTAAGATAAGGTCGTTTCTCGTTGTTACTTAATTTCTCTTGAATTATTCTAAAGCATATCATCTCAGAAATTTAGAAATTAAAAAACTTTCAAATAAAAAATACTATTTTGCTCAATATTCATATTTGCCGTCGTTATATGTTATGGTAGGATTTAGAATTTTTCAAAATACGCAGAGGACAAAATAGTTTAAACATTCCCGATCAATATTTAGTCGTTATATATTTCATAAAAAAAAAAATATTTTATTCTACATTTCGATTGTTTTTTAAAATCTGGCAAGTTTCAAGCTTTTAAGGATAACAAGTGTAAAGAATCTGCTATTAATGTTTCTTGGTAATCATGATGCCTCCCCCCCAGTGGCACAGCGGCATGTCTGCGGACTTACAACGCTAGAATCCGGGTTTCGATACCCGTGGTGGGCAGAGCCCAGATAGCCCATTGTTTAGCTTTGTGCTTAATTACAAACAAACAATAATCACGATAGTTTTCTTTCCCGATGTATAGTTTTGTGTGAGAAACATCAACACATGTGAAGCTTCAATGATGTAACGTTTATTATAAATACAATAGTAATCATAGAAATGATGCCCATGAAAATATAAGTTTGGCATATATAATGTTTTTTTTACTAAGATAATTCTACGACGGATTATAAATTTATGATAATTTTAACCGTACACCTAGACTTTCTCATTATACGTTTTCGAAGCTAAACAATTTAATGAAATCGGATTTATTTGCTTGACATACAGATATAAACACGTGTTCTTCATTTTTACGTCACACTGAAAGGATTGTTGATTGGTTGATTATGGAATAACCATCTGTTGCTTTGATGACGATTATTAGTTAATATGAAAAAGTTGAATAGTTGTTGTTTTGATGAATGATGAATTTTAATTAATGGAAATAAAATATTTCCTTTACTAATTACAAACTATGTTTAAGAAAATTAAAAAAAATATATATCTTGTGAGTATATTTACTGTACTTATATATTATGTTCAAATTGTTGTCTGAATTATTGGATTTATGTCAATAATTAACCTCATTAATAAAAGTCTTGGAAATTTTTTATATTTCAATTTCGTTATTGAATAAAGTTATTAACCTACCAGTAGATTCAACTTCTCAACAAATAATTATGGTTTAATTCCTGTACTAAAATACACTACAGAACCATAGTGACAAACTAGGAAGGTTCAAACTTCATCAGTGTGCTTGAAGTTTTGTTTTTTGTGTGACTTGTTCAATAGTATTCTGTGTTAGAGTATGTTATTTTGGAGCTTCATCGTGTCTCCATCTTTGGGCATATTATATCTGGAATTTGCCTATGGGTTTTTCATACGTGCTGAGAAACTGCAATCTTCGTACACTAGGTGCGATTATGGAAAACATGCAGGGAGGAGGAATATACTTTGGACATGACAGCATTACGACGGAGCCTTTTGCAACTACGTACGGTCAAAATGCACGGTCGTGAATTTGCCTATGGGTTTTTCATACGTGCTGAGAAACTGCAATCTTCGTACACTAGGTGCGATTATGGAAAACATGCAGGGAGGAGGAATATACTTTGGACATGACAGCATTACGACGGAGCCTTTTGCAACTACGTACGGTCAAAATGCACGGTCGTACCGGTATTACCCGTTTCTTTCTCTAGCTGTCTGAGCTATGTTATTGTTGACCAGATATGTACTGGAAGCAACTTGCGAACACGTGACTTTTGGCATATTTTTCAGAAAAGGGCTGATATATACCCTTCCTCAAAACGATGTCTAAATTTTGTTCTGGTACATTCCTTTCAAACACGACTTCGTATCCAATTATTTGCTCTCCCTTTTTTATATTATTTTTTATTAGGTGTGTATTGGATTATAACCCACTGTTATTACAATTACACATTGTGTATTATATTATTATTATTATCTTGGTAACCACGTGAACTTACTACGTTAGTTTTTATTTGTTTATTTTGCGCTTGTTACGTTTTAGTTAGCTAGAAGACAGCTCAAAAGAGTGGGTGTAAACTTTGGTCAAGAAGTAAAAAGATGGAAATGAAAGCGTAATTCAGTTTCTATCATTTTTATCATTGCGAAATTTTATCTTAGCATTTTCTTTTCACTGTTATCTTATATTTCTTAATAAAGAACTTCCTATATAATTTGCGTTGGGCTTTTCGGGTCTCATACGTCGAGGCACTGAGACAATATTTCCTCTTGTCACTCCTATTCTTACGTCATTTCGTTCTGTATTATAACTGGCTGCTTAGACTGAACTATGACAACCAAAAACATACCAGAAACTGAAGCTTACGAAGCATTGAAACTTCATAGGTCTCCGGGCGTGTGGCTTGGTCAAGATTCAAGATAAAAAAAATAAATTATATTATTACATGCCTCTGATTTGAAATTAATTTTGTAGTGATTTAATGGAAGTGAATGTGAAAACAAAAACACACTTGTAGTCTAGAATAATTTGAGCGCAAATATTAAATTATGTCTTCGAAATACAAATATCCACGCGCAATTATTTTGACTGGAAATGAAACAGTTTGCCCTTAGAGTTTATGATGAAGCAGTAACGAACACGATTTAAATGATAATTGTCAATACAAATCGAATTTTCTGACAATTACCTATATGCTGGTAGCTAATAAAATATATGTATTATATAAAACACTATAGTTCTGTTAACTCAATCAATATATGAACACTGGTACTTCCTTCAAGAAATCCCAGCGATAAATAAGTTGTTTTATCTAGCAGGCCATAATGGCCCACTAAAAACATTATTGAAGTACTATTACTGGACTCGTGTACTGTTGTATGCTCTATGAATACATGCAACAGAGTCGTGTACTCGGCAGAGAATAAAAGAACCACTTACACTGAAATAAGTTCGTCGTTATTTTTACTGCACTCCGGTAAGACTATCCGTAAGAGCATATAGATTTAGCTTAATGACAAAGGAAACTTTCTGACTACCGCTAGTTAACCAATAGAAAATTGGGCTTTGTGATAAGATATATCAAAAATAAACTTAGAAACAATTTGCATCCAATTTAACTAAAGTACGCTGGGAAGTTTATGTTAATTCTAATTCATTTAGGAATAAAACAAGTATTACAACAGAGATAAGTATAATTGTTTCCTATAAACACACAAACACGTACATACAGTGTGAACACATTGGTATCAGTAGTGGATATGACATACCTATATAACCCAAATGAGTGCATTAACAAATCTTATTATTTTAAACAGCGAAGAAGGTATGAAAGTGCACAATGATATCTTCAAGTACAAAATACAGTGTGCTGGTGTACACTGATATATTCAAGTACAAAACACAGTATGCTGGTGTCACAATGATATCTTCAAGTACAAAATACAGTGTGCTGGTGTACAATGATATCTTCAAGTACAAAACAGTATGATGGTGTGCAATGATATCTTCAAGTACAAAACACAGTATGCTGGTGTACAATGATATCTTCAAGTACAAAATACAGTATGATGGTGTACACTGATATATTCAAGTACAAAACACAGTATGATGGTGTACACTGATATATTCAAGTACAAAACACAGTATGATGGTGTACACTGATATATTCAAGTACAAAACATAGTATGATGGTGTACAATGATATCTTCAAGTACAAAATACAGTATGCTGGTGTACACTGATATATTCAAGTACAATACACAGTATGATGGTGTACACTGATATATTCAAATACAAAACATAGTATGATGGTGTACAATGATATCTTCAAGTACAAAATACAGTATGATGGTACATAATGATCTCTTCAAATAGAATACACAGCATGACAGATCACGTTCATCTATTCCAGAATGAAAAACAGTAGACATTGATCTCTTGAAGTATATTAGACTAAATATTCGTAAATAGTGAGCTTTTAAATCAAACAATATTGTATAATCCTGAATATTGATCTTTCAACTATAAAATATCGTATTATTTATATAACTTGTTAAGGCAATACTGCATGTTGGTAAATATGTATACTTTTTAATTTACAGAGTGACATATGGCATTTTGATACACTCTTTTCTGTGCCACCAGCATGTAGAAAAGGTAGCTCGAATTTAAATATTGGTATTTGAATTGAAAATACTATATGATAGTAAATTTGACGTCTTTACTAAAAGCTACTGTATGTATCATTCATTGGTTTGTTTAACTTCAAAGATTGTGAATATTGATATTTTTTTTATTTGAATTTAATTTCCATGAAAGTTATGCACCAGTAAGAATACGGATGTTTTTAAGTACGTACAATAAGTTCATACAATAAGCATTGAGGCAGTGGCGCTTATAGCGATATTAAATTTTATTCAACATTACAGAGATAATTTTTATTACTGAAACCAGGAATATATAATTGGCAGGAAAAAATATATTAGGCTACAAAACTGCAGGAAATTGGTATCGTTATGTCAATTATTTAATCTAGAGAAAAGTATACTCAAAATTAATAGAATATCAAAATTCTCTAGCGTGAATCAGAAATAGCCATCCCATGCCTTCTGTATGAATTCACGTAACATTAAAATAACGTTTGATGTATATTCAATTTTAACGTGACACATTCTTTAGGCTTAAGAAAAAAATCAAATGCGTTTATTTTCTTTAATGAATAAAATAAAACAGGATAGATTTCAAGGGCTATAATTATGCTTTTTAACTCTAACGTATTTTGACTTCGTTTAATTATTACGTGTCCTAAAATTAGATTTATTAC